GGAGTTGGATGGTTGGTTGGTTACTTGGTTGGTTGGGGAAAAGGAGGGGGAATGTGCGGGGGAAAAGGAGGGGGAATGTGTTGGTTGGTTGGTTGGTTGGTTAGTTGGTTGATTGGTGCGGGTCACTACCTCTTTCCCCCGCACATTCCCCCCCTTTTCCCAGCACCCTTTTCCCCCCACATACACACCTGTCGAGCCACTGTGTGGAGCAGCAGCGGCACAGTCGCCTTGGCGGTCTGCGCCAACATGTTCGGATTCAGCCGGGAGCTCGATAGCCAGAGGATGGCGCCAAGATGCTTGCCGCCGTGTGCGATTGGAGCGGCCACGACCCTGTAGGTATGTACGTATGTATGTACGTGTGTATAAAAGCATTAAAATGGACTGTGCCGCGAGATGTATGTATGTATGTATGTATGTATGTATGTATGTATGTATGTATGTATGCATGTATGTATGTATGTATGTATGTATGTATGTATGTATGTATGTGTGTGTACAAGGGAAATTGTCAATCAAGTTAATGCAACGGTTCGCCCATACCATACTTTTGGAGGGTTTTTGTGCCCCGGTTACGACAAGTTGACTAGATGCCGCTCCGTCACGCCGTGGCCAACGTGATGTGATGAATGATGTGATTAGTATACGATGATGAGTGCGCCAAACTCTCTCTCTCCCCTCCACCTCTACCCATTTCCCCCGCCTCCTCTCCTCTCCCCTCTTTTCCCCCGCCCCCTCTCCCCTTGCCCCATACACACACATATACACACATACACACACATATATACATACACACACATAGGCCAACTCACCACGTGGGGTTTGTCACACGCGCCTGCTCCATGAAAACGTCTTTCCACGGCTCGCCGTACTTTTTCAACGCCGCCATCACATCCGCCACGAACAGCAGCTTGGAGCCCTCCGCCAGGCACCGCCGGGTGAGGGTGTTGGACAGCGACATGTGAGTGCCGAGTAGCCCCTCCTCGGGCGGCTGTGGGGAGGTAGTGTGCGGGGGGGGGATTGCGAGCAATGGAGGGGGTGGGGAGGGGGGTGGGGGGGAAGACGGGGGTAGGGGGGAAAAGACGAACCACACACGAGTGAAGCTGCTGCCAGGGCAAGAGTAGTGGTGGTGGGGGATGCGGGGGGTGCGGGAGGTGGTGGGTTGGGACGTGGGGGGGAGAGGTTCTGGTGGCGGCTCCGGCGCTCCTCTCTCCAGCCTGCGTGTTCAACATTAGCCCATTATTGCCCCCCTCCCCCGCCCCCGCCCCCTCTTATTTCCGTTTTCCCTCCTCTCAACCATTTTCCCCTTCCCCCTCCCCCTCCACCCTCCCCCTCTCCCCAACCGGACGTCCCAAAACACACACACACACACACACGTACCATTTTGCCGATCGAGGACCCGAAGCCGCCGCCCGTGTTGCTTCCCGGCCCCAAGCCGCGCGATACGAAAGACGGATCGCGGCGAATGCCGCTGATGCCGCCCAAGTCCTGTTCGACGTTGGTCGAGGTTCGACGAGTGTTGAATGTCGGGCCAGATCGAATGCCGCCCGACACGAGCACGTCGATGGAGTTGACCGGGTCAAAGGCGCGAAGGGCGCCCACGGATCTCGACAGCACCATTGCTGCCGATTGATCTGCACCGCTCCAACACGACACGTGCAAGCACATATGGATGTTGCATTCATTAAGACAGGTATGTGTATATATAATATACATTATATAATATATATATTATTTTATACATATTAATATATATAATATATTATATATACATTATATATATAACATATTATATAATATACAAAAGAAACTGTCTTTCGTTTTCGTTAATATAAGAGCCACAAACACCCCCTTCTTTTCTCTCTCCACCCTCAAAAAAAGAAGGGATTGCGGCCGAGTACCTTCTCCCCTTAAGCCCCCCACTGACCCCCCCACCATCCTCCCATAGCCTAAGCTCCGAAACCACAAAACACAGGCGCCCAATCTCCCACCCCACCCCGCCACCAGACCGAGCTCTGTTGTTCATTTTTTAACTTCCACCCCACGTAGAACCCCCCAACCAATTCCCCCCCCCAACTCCCCCACCCATCCCCCCAAAATCTTCACTTTGCGTGGCACCCCCCCTTCCCCGACGACACAACCTTTCTTGACCAACCCAAATATTAACATCAGCCCTCCCCCATACACACACATACACACCATCATGGCCACCCTTCCCCCCCACCGCCACCACTCGCCCCGCTACCAACCCCCCACTACCGCCCCCCAACAAACACACACACACACATACATACATACATACATACACAAACACACACGCTACCAATACACACAAACACAAACACACACAAACACACAAATACACTACCAATACACACACAAAAACACAAAAACACACACGCTACCAATACACACCCGGTGCGAGCAGCACCAGCCGCGCCTCCGTATCGTCCGGATGGCACCAGTCAAACCACGTGTCGAGATCTGAGGAGATGATCCAGGCGAGTTGGTTGAGACCAACCGCCGTTTGGATCTTTTCCGTAAAATTGACGAGCTTCAACGCCGACGTCTCCGCAAGGTAGAGTGATATCAGCGGCAGGTAGGCGCCCAGCCAGCGGTGCTCGATCAGGTTGGGGATGGGCGCCGTGTGGGCCAGCAGCAGCGCACCGACCACGGTGGGAC